CAGAAACTAGGGAATAAAAATTTACAGTAAGTTTCTCTAATAAAGGCCCAATTTCTCAAATATGTAGGGAACTGAACCACACTGATAAAGAATAAAAGCCATTCCCCAACTGATAAATGGCCAAAGGATATGAACAGGCAGTTTTCAGAAGAAATCAAAGCTATCAATAGTTATATTAAAGAATGCTAATAATTAAAGAAATGTTAATTAAAACAACTCTGAGGTAACACCTCATACACGTCAGAATGACTAACATGACAGAAGAGGAAAATGACAAATGCTGGAGGGAATGTGGGAAAATAGGGAGACTACTGCATTGCTGGTGGAGTTGTGAACTGATCCAACCATTCTGGAGAGCAGTTTGAAACTATGCCCAAAGGGCTATAAAACTGTGCATACTCTCTGACACAGCAATACCACTACCAGGTCTGTATCCGAAAGAAAAAGAGAAAAGACCTATATTTACAAAAATATTTCTAGCCACTCTTTTTGTGATGGCAAAGTATTGGAAAATGAAGGGAAATTTATCAACTGGGAAATGGCTGAATGAGTTGTAGTATATGATTGTGATGGGACACAATTTCTGTGCTATAAGAAATGACGAGCAGGGTGATTTCAGAAAAACCTAGGAAGACTAAGATGAACTGATGCAAAGTGAAGTGAGCAGAACCAGATCATTGTATATATTAACAGCAATATTGTAGTGATGATTCATCATGAAAGACTTAGTTACTCTGATCAATACAGTGAACCAAGACAATTCCAAAGGATTCACAATGAAAAATACTATCCCCTTCCAGAGAGAGAAAGAACTGATAAACTCTTGAGTGCGGACTGCATGCTGTTTTCTCACCTTATTTTTCTTCCTTCCTTCTTTTCTTTCTTTTTTTGCAACATGGCTAATACAGAAATGTTGTCCATGACTTTAGATGTATGATAGGTATCAAACTGCTTGCTTTCTCAATGGGTGGGGAAAGAGCTGGGGAAAGGAGAGAATCTGGAACTCCAAAAGAATGAATGTTTAAAAAAATGAACAAATGATAAAGAAAATAGAATTATAAAATTAATTAAAATACAATTAAAAAAACTTATTTCTTTCCTTCCTTCCTATTTGATTTCATCCTGTTAGAATATCAAGACCATTTTTTGATACCAGCATACTGGCTAACCCAACCAGCTTTAAAAAGAAGAGCATAGGAAGGAACAGGAAAGAAAAAAGAAAATAAAAGGAGGGCTATAAACCATGGAAATGGGGTAGGAAGGACAGGGCCAGCATAATGGCTGCCCCCTCTGCCTAATCATGTTTTCTAGGCTTTGAGGGCAATTAGGCCTTTCTGTCTTCCTCACACTCATGACAATGAAAATTCCACCGTCTTGTCCCCCAATTTTAACTTTTTTAGCTTAGGTAACCATCCGCCATTTTTAAAACTCTAGGCATCTTGGTCAGGAGCAGGGATTAGATTTAAGCTTATGAACACTGCCGAGTACTCTGATGACTGGATATTCTTTTTTCCAGCTTACCATCGTGAAGCAGCGTGAGCAGCCAGAGGTGGTTTTCCGACAGTTCCTAGTGGAAGACAAAGGTCTCTACGGAGGAGCATCTTACGTGGACTTCCTTTGCTGCGTCCACAAAGAAATCTGCCGGCTGCTGAGCTAGAGGAAACTGGCCTCTCCATCCTCTGGCATCTTCCCATTTCTAAGGGGATGATACCCCATGGTCACTGTCCTGAAGGAGGTTTTGCTTCGGGCTTTCCCCAAGGCTTCCTTCCTGTACAGTTTCTGGTCTCTGAATCTACATTGCTCATCTTCTCTATCTAGTGGCCTATCGAGCCGTGTTCAGGTATCCAGCTGAAGACGGACAGGATGGTCAGCCCTGAGATATAGGGAAAGCACCTATTTCTGATGGCAAATTTTAAAACTCTTACCTAAGTCTATGCATTTCATATGAGGCAGACTTTACAGGACTCATTCTCAATTCTCTTTTCTTTTCTATTCCTCTAAATTATAAAGATGTATCAATGTGCGGAGGGAGAGAGATCTTGGTGCCTTTCCCACCAATGATACAGGAAGAACCACCTTCATTTTTATATGGTACTTAATTTTGTAAAAGACTTATTTTTCCATTCCAAATGCATTTTTCCATTCAATGGCAAACATCTATAAGCCTGTCTAAATTAAGTTTAGACTCTGGCAGAGAATCTCATGTGCATTCAGCAACTTTTCAGAATTACATATCCTAAGTTGAACCTTTTTCCCTCCATTCCTTATTTTGTCCATAAAACTGTCAACATTCTTAATGATTCTTTGTACAATTTTGAAGGTTTCTACCTGTAATTAAAGGGATCTTAATTGATAGAGATAAATCACTTCATATGTCTCTTGTCCATCAAATATAGGCAGCATTAAGCATTTTCTCAAAGGTAAATGTACCTTGGGATTGAGAAAACAAGGAAGAGAGCAGCAGCCTGGCCTAGTGGAGAGTTGGCCTTTGGCTTAGAAAGATCTGGGTTCAAGTCCTGCTGCTGACACTTACTGGCTGGGTGAGTCACTTATCCCCCAGGCAATTCTCCAGAGTGTAAGTAAAGAAGGTGCTCGCCAGCATGGGTAGAGTGACTTTCTCCCCAAAATCCCCTTGACCAATACAATCACAGATCGAAAGCAAAAAAGGCAAGGAAAGGCACTCGGTTATTTGGATGGATAGACTTAACATAGAACTTGTGAGTCATTTCTTACAGACCATTAAGGGTCTACAATTGAAACAAGCTTCCTAAAAGTTTTTTTTTCCTTAAATTCTATCGACAATTTTTTTAAAAAATCCTTCACAAGGCCAAAACCACCCATTATTAAACCATAGGGTTTGCCTGCCATTTTTAATCCAGGGCTAAAGGATTTACCCTTTTAGGACCCCATCTCCCCTCCGTCCCCCTTGGAGCCAGCCTTCTCCATTACCTGGCTTTACAGAGGTGCAGGGGTGCATCTTCACCCCGCTCGTGTTCACTGGACACATGTGGACTTCCACCAGCCTGCCTGCCCCTGATGCAGATGAAGCCCCATTAACCCTGGGGAGCAGCCACAAATCAGGCCCATTCCACATTCCATGGAGAACCATTTGGACTTGCACATCTTGTTTCGAAGGGACTTGTGATCTTCTGAAAACATTTTATCCAAACTCCAGGGGGAGAATCAAGTCGCCTTCAGTTCCTCCTTCGATGCTACGGTCTCCTGGTTGTACCTGGAACACCGCAGGCATCTGTACTGCCTTCCTGTTGTGCAGCGCTGTTGCTGATGTTAACAGGAACCTGGCTGCCTCTCTACCACCCTGTCGCAAGGCAGCTCCATCCCTGTGGTTGGCTACCCATCCCAACTCAAGCCGACCGCAGAGAATAAGCCTTAACAGGTTCATTCTACGTGTTTAACTAAGGAGAGAAAAACATGTGTTGTGTTAAGTGCAATTCATTATGTACTAAAACCTAAGGGATTTTTACCAGCAGTTAAAACATAACCAAAATGAAATGAATTTTATTAAAACATTTTTCATCGTGTCTGTCCCCTTTCTTTTTGTTCACCCAGGCATGAGGAAGATCACTTTGCCAGCTGGATGGAGGACAGACTGGAGAGGGGGGAGAAAGGAGGCAAGATGTGTTTCTACCACTGCTGTGGTAGCTTCTAGGGAGCAGGTGGAGCAATGCAGGGTTGTGGTTTGGCAAGAAGACGAAGGATTCAAGAACAAAGGGTGACGGTGCATGGTGTAGAGTTAGACTGGTCACCCATAGTGCGCAGACAGTAGCCCATTGTGTCCTAGAATCCTTTGGGAGTCCAGTCTCAGAATGTTTTAAAGCACATAAAACAAAACGGAATCCCAAGAGGAAAAAAAAATCCACAGCCCCCAATCACATATACTAGAATAGTCATCAAACAATTGAAAACAAGTTGCCGGACTGAGGGTTAAGAACCTCCGATGTATCCAGTGCAAAGGTGATGGCCTGGGAAAGACCTGGGGCTGGGGGAAGGCTGCTGAAGGTAACGTAAGGATAACTAGACATGGGAGGAATATCAAAGCTAAGGAAGGTGAGACCCAGAGAGGTTAAGTAACTGGCCCAAGGTCAACAGAACCAGATTTGAACTCCAAACACAGTTGAACCTGATTGGTGCAGGGCTGACCCGCTGACTCCAGCCTGCTGCCTACTCTGCAGCTGCTTCTCAACTCACCCCAAATTCTACTTAATTCTAAGGTTTTTTGGATAAGAACAGAAGGTGAAAGGTGTTGGTGGGAGGAAGGGCAGGACAACTTTACCTTTCCCTAATGATGGTGCCACTTTGTACCTAAACCCTAGGATCTATAAAATTTGAATTCAGTCTGACCTTGGTAGTAAGACAAGATCTTCCATCTAAGATACAGTAATACTTCTATTAAAAAAACAGGTGCGAAGGAAAGGCAAACTTCCCCACAAAAATGACATCCTGAGAGGTAGGAATTCCAAACATCTCCATCCCATCCCTTATTTCCCTCCAGAACACCCAAGTTCTCCCTCCTCCAGAACTGCCAGAGATTAAACATCCTACAAGACAGAGTACTAGAGGTGAAGGAAGAAAAGCGCGGAACCTGAAAGAAAAAGCATTCATTAAGCACTAGGGATAGATCCAGAGCCAAGATCGTCCCTCTTCTCAGGGGTTTCCTTTCTACTAGCACAGAGGGAAGTAGTGTCTGCAGGCCCAGCACTGAGCTGGTCCACGGGACAGGTAACGGGCAGCCCTCTCCAGAAGCTCTCAGACTATTGTTTGTTTACTGTGCTGAGAGCAATAGGTGGGAAAGGGGCTACAGCTTTTCTTTCTTTTTCTCCCCCCTCCTCCTCCCTCTCTCCATCCCCATCCCAGCTAGACACAATGCACTATGGAACAGAAACAGCACAAGGCCCAAGATGGCAGCCCTTACAGGAGATTAATGAAGAACCTGGAAGAAATCTATAAATGTGGAATGAAAAACTTCCAAAACATCGAGATTGATGAAGCAGTTTATTGATTGGCAAGGGTTTATTGCTTCTGACAACCCCCCTCGCCCACTACGAGACAGCCTTCAGCATAGAAACCGACTTCCCCGCCGAGTACCCATTCTAACCACCAAAGATAGCATTTCCAGCCATATCCACAGTAACCACGATGAAGGGCAGGTGTGTGCCAGTAATCTGTGCTGAAAACTGGAAGCCAGCAACCTAAACTGGCCAAGTCAATCCGGTCCCTCACACCACTGAACAAGCCCTATTCTGGGCACTTATTTTGTGCAGACCTGGCTGAAAAATACTCAACGAGCCACTAGCAATTATGTAAGCTTGGTGAGGCGTAGAGTGTGGTCCAGACAGTAACGTGTAATCCTGGAAAGATAGGCAGGGGCCTGGTCATGAAGGGCTTTCAATGCCCAGCAGGGGAGTTTACATTGGATCCTAAAGGCAAGAAGGAACCACCTGAGAAGGGGAATGGCGCCATCACACCTATACCTCAGGATGGACTGGAATGGGGAGAAGCTTGAAGCAGAAGACCAGTGAGAAGGCTCCTGCAACGGTCCAGGTGGAAGGCACTGGCCAGTGAGTAGCGAACTGGAGGGGAAACGGCAAGATCTGAAAAGGGGATGCGTGGGGTGACGGAGTGAAGAGCCAAGACTGCACCGGGGGGCTGGACCTGGCAAAGGGGAAGGATAGTGTCCTTACAGAAACAGGGGGACGGGGTCCTTCCTGAAGTGGAGGGAGCTTAACCCTTTGCGGGATCACTGGACTTGTCTTCTCAGCCACTGAAGGCAGAGCTAGAGTCACAGGGTGGAAGTGGAAGCAGATTTGTGTTTGAATGCATAGAAAAACCTCCTACGTTATGGCAGCATTCCCTTACAAAGTAGGGATCTTGTCAGGTCCTTGGTCACGGACAGATGGGCCTGGGTGACCTTCCAATTCACACAGTCAATGATGTTAGCCAGAGGTCCAACGCCTCCTCTTGTCCTGGTTTGGAGTTGGTAGGCTGTAATCTTTCATCATTCAAGTTAACCCAAAGAGAGCCCAGGAGCGCTGGATTTGTAACCCAGCTTCCTATTAGTGGCACCAACCGTCTATCTTTAGGGTTGTTGTTAAGAACTCACTTAAGGACGTTATTTATGAGATTGGTTTGTATTGAGCTAGGAATTTCCTCAAAACAAAAATTTCCTTGCAAACTCTCATTCAAAACCCACTCTCGGAGGCTTCACGAGATTGGAAGAAACCCATGTTAGATAACATATTTCCCCCAAATAAGTTACGCATATCTCTCTAATTAAGGCATTTCATGGAGCCTATGGAAAAGATTCAGTCAGCCAAATCCTCCATTGGGGCTTGGCATGAGGTCGTGGGAGTCACTGGCTGAGAGCAGGTAGAAGTCGCTTCCCAAAGCAATGCCCATCAGAGATGAACACAGGGGAAAAAGGAAGAGCTGTGCTCCTGACAGATGGATGAATCCTGTCCAGTGACAAGGACATGCCCACTTCTGAAGGCCAGGTCTGATTCTCCCCTCAGCCACGGCCAGGCCCTGGTCCCCCAAAGAGGCAGCCATGTCCTCTCAGGATACGTATCACTCCTCCTTAGCTGCCACTGCCACCAAGCCGGCAAGGAGCTCAGGAGATCAGAGCTTTTCCCAACCTCCTACACTCAGGGTGCGCCTTTACGAAAAGGAACTTTACTCCTGGTAGACCTGAGAGAAGGATGCTAAGGTGCCACTTTAGTAAAAAATACACACTGAACCGAACCAAAAAGGATTCAACATAGCGTGGCACGGAACAACCACATCTCCATGAATTTTCTCAGTCTGCTTGAGGGATCAGTGACATCTAAACAGGCTCTTACTCTCAGCCTTCCAGGGTTTCATCCAGAAACAAGACCAGTGCAGCTCTTGAAAGCAGACTCCCCAAAAGGTGCATCTTAAGATGTGCATCTAATGATCACCTTTCATTCAAAAGAAAAAACCTACTCAAAATGTTATAAAAATGGTATTTATCAAAATTAACAATGCAATCATTTTCACTGCCCCAAAGTCAGCAAATTCTTTTAAAACATGAATTACAGAAGAGAACCAGGTTGTATAAAGTGTCATATAAATGATTTACCAAATCAGTCTCTCATAAAAATAGAAACAAAACACAATAAGCGGAATCAGATTTCTGTCCACAAGCTGTGTTGTACAGTCTTTAGAACAAATACCCATCTCTCCTTAAATTCTTTGTAACAAATTTAAGGACAAAGGCTGCTTTCCGTTCTCAGGGATGTGTAAAGGAAGCAGCCGATAATCCCAACCCTTCGGCCAGCTTCTGCAGCTTTCTTCACCCTTTTACTTGCTAACACCTACAACGGCTGCTGGAAGTCTGAAAGTGCCTGAGCCCAGCTGAGATCTGGACTCTAACCATAATGGTTGTAAGGAAGACAAGGAGTCACTGATCTACATGGAAGAATTCCTGTCATGCTTCTGACAAGCATCTGCCTCCTCAGCCGGCTGAAGAGCCAAACTCTGCCTAATTACCCATTTGGCTCTGAAACAATAAAAAATGTAAAACAAAAAGTCTTAACTATCGTTTTGCTGTTAGAGCCGGACAGCGAGAAAACAGGAATGAATGAGAAGCGGGTCTCCCATTCTATTGCATCAATACCAAGACAGGTTGTCTTAGGCCTACGAGGAACGTGACCGCGGAAACGGAGAGCGAGCAGGCTGAGCTCTCGTCCGGGCACTAGCGACAGAGTTTAGCTTGGAAGGTTTTCTTGGGCTATGAAAACGGAGCAAAGGACCTGGCTGATCTAGAACATAACTAGACTAAATTTCATCTGGGCTAAGGTACTTGTGTGTTCTCCCTCTGCTCAGTCACACGCACATGAACACAAACCAGACAAAGCCTGCCACACGTGGCAAGTCCACAGGAGGTAGCCAATGGTTTCCGAACACGAGGAGTCGACTGGCTTTGGTTCCTAACGCGAGTCCCCAGCACAGACCCAGGAGGAGGAGGAACCAAAGGGGTCATGCCTGCAACGGTGCTAGCGCGGGGGGAAGCCCCCGCGGTGGGCCCCTCCACGGCCCCCTCGAAACCCGCCCCTCTCTCCGCGGAAGGTGGACCGGTTTCTTTCCCGGCCTCTCTCTCCACGACCGGCAGACGTGCCCCCTCTGCCGCCCCCCCTCGGGGCGCCACCTCCTCGATCAGATTTTGATTTTGGGGGGGGTGACTTTGGCCGCAGTCTCTCGATCTCTTCCGTACATCCCGTCAGAGGGGAATTGGGAATGCTGAAGTAGGAAGCATAAGTTTCTGCATTGAAGTTGCTATTGGTAAGATTGGGTCCCACAGTAAGCCAGCCTACAAGAGACAGAAATAAAGAGTCATCAACACTGGCTCAGCTCCCTCCCCCGGCACCTGCAGGTTCAGGGCCCTGCGTGAGGCCCTGGTGCTCCCCCAGCCCTTAGCGCCTGGAGCTCTGGGGGGGCACCTCTCACATCCGGTCTTCTTGCCTGGGCTTTACACACTCCCCGTGTCCATCTTGTCTCCCCAGCTAGACTGTGACTCCTGGTCCTGGCCCTCTCCTAGACACACACAGTCACTGCGTCCACAACAGTCTACTCCTGAACGAGTTACCTCAAGACAAGAACAGATCAAGAGGTGGAAGCCACCTGTCAATCTGAAAACACGGACAAAGCGGGACCAGCTGTGTACTGGAGGGGGCCTAGCTGGTGTACAGGAACACCTCGGTGATGGACGTGAGCCCTGTGGGTGGGAGAAGACTGCCGCAGAAGCGGGATGTCCAAGAGATCAAAGGTGGGTGAGCTGTGTGACTCGCCGGGAGGAGACCCCAAACCCAGGGCATATCCCTTACACGTGCCTCGTTTTTCACACACTGCCCTCCCAGGAGACCACACACTCCTTTCTTTGCATTCCCCGCATTTACAGACGTGGCCAGTGCACCGCAAGCACTTAAAGGCTGGCTGACTGAGCAGAAGGACTAGAGCAGCGGGGCAGGAATCTGGGGACACCGAGCAGGGTGGGGGGCCATAAGGCACGCTACGGTCCCCGCTTGTGGAGTGGCGTATTAGGCCCATCAGTGTCCTCGGATCCCCACCAATGTAGCCAAGGAATTTTGTGGAAATGGACGCTGGAGGTCACAAGGAGGGACTGTTTCTATCAGCAATACGGTAATAAACTTTTGTGCCCTAAACTGCTGGGAAAAATGATCATCTGTCCTTTGAGGAAGTCTGATGAAAAAGTGAAACCACCCACAGTACTTCAAAACAACTTGTTTTGGGATCCTCAGGGAAAAGCTAAACATCTTGAAGCTACTGTATCCACACAACATAAACACATGTACACACACAGCCTAGAAGATGGGAAGTCATTTTTAAATCAAAATAGTTCAAACTACCTGATTTTGTTTAATTTATTTTTAAAGAGCTAAGCCTTTGGAATGTGGAGAAAACCTCCACAAAGTCTGAAATGGTGCTCTGGTCTACAACTACAGTGGAGATCACACAATGCTTTCCTAAAACCACCCCTGCAAAAAGGGTTCAGATCTACTTTTCAGCTGCTTTCCCCCTATACTTTTCCAATGGAAAACCTGGCGCCTGATCCCGGCTGCAGCAATGCCACCTACAGGATTATTTGCCACAGCCTGACCACAGCTGCTCCCCTGAACTTCTAACAGAGAGCCAGCCGGCAGGGTCATCCCCTATGGCCTGAGAACCACTACGCCATGCGTACTGACTGGGCGTCACAACTCATTCACAGTTCTCAGGGACAACACTCGACCATTTTATTTTGCCTAATATAATTAAAGGAAAGAAAAATAAACATTCTTGGTGATCTTAGCTTCTTCTGGCTACGAAATATGTATGATTTCCCCCCCAATATATTTCTTATGTGAACTCCCTTCCCTTTGTTCTAGATTATCTAACGTCATGTTCTCCCAATACTCATTATTTGATTACAAAAGAAAGACAAAATAAGAACTCCAAGTCATCGTAACGTTTCCTCTCTAAGAGGCAACACAGCTTTAAACAATGGCTCCTAGTACAATTTGGACAGTCCTCACCAGAACAATCATCTCAACCTGAAATGATTTTAGGCTTTCAACTGGTCCCCAGTTCAAATGTTAAAGAACATTTTGTGAACACGAACATTCAGAAATTTAGATACACAGTACGCATACAAATGCAAAGCAAATTTGGCTTAATACTCCTAATCAGAATTAAAATGAGAAATATGATTTTTTTGTTTTTTTGTGGAGACAGCTACCAAACTACTCCAAGTTTTCCACAAGATTATATCATTCCCATTGTATCACGGAAATTTTATTCTGTACATTATTTTATTCTATGATGTAAAAGGTTAATTAATGATTTAAACATATAATATTTTTGAGTTTAAAAGTTATTTTGTTTTTAAACTGAAGTCTTACCTGGTCGGATTGTACTGTCCCTTCCAAAAAGGTGAAGACGTCTTCTACCAAGGCAAAAATGTTCAATGATATGAAAAATCTCTACCGGTTTCTCTATGTTTCCAATTTCAGGTTCTTCTGTGATAATTAAGTCAATGTCCACGTTGGCATGAATGAAGTCGCCATCTGTGCTACGCCGAACAGTCCCTTTGATGCCCATCAGACAATGTTCCTGCACAAGACAAGTAAATAACATTTCCTGCAAACAGCTGGCTGGATTGTTCAGAGCTCTGGGGTAAATATTCTAGAACCTTCCAACTTCCCATGGTCTTCAGGAAGATAAAAGCCAAGGGGACTGTCGGAGTGAGAAAATGAGCCAGAACTTCTCAGGCTACAGACTGAGCCGAACAGAAGATGGGCTTTCATGGATCAGAACAAAGCCAAGAGTGCCAGGCAGGGGAGGAAAGGGAGGGCAGGGTACCGACCACCAGAGAAGGTTACGTGAAGAGATGGCACTTGAGATGAGCCCTGATGGAAGATGATTCTGAAAGGCAATGCTAAGAAAGAGTGGAGTCCAGGTCGCAGGGATGGCATGCATAAACGTAGGTGACAGGGTGACAGCTGATGTCATAGTCTGACCGAAGTATGAAATGGTAAATGAGCCTGGAAAGGTAGGATGCAGCTAGACTGAGTGGGAAAAGCCTTCGAAGAAAGGGTGAAGAACTTAGATTTCATCATAGGAGAAACTACATTTTTTTTAGTTCCTTCAACTTTTGCAAGTGCTTTCTAGTAAAATTAAAACAAAACAAACAACAAAAAACCTGCTTGTGATTTCGGTCCCAAGACCCTCGTTTGACTAGGGATGATGTGGGCTGCTAAATCTTTGGCTCCAAAAGCCGTCTGGCAGCTTGTCAGAGGGCTGAGATTGGAAGCACCAGGAGACTCTGGCAAGAGGCAAGGAGATTATCTATGGGTGGAGGCCTCAGAGAAAAGGTGAGTAAGTGTGAGGACAGAGCATCACTAAATCTTGGCAACCAACTGGACTTAGGAGGTAAAATGGCCACCAGGCAAATAAATGTAGGCCCAGTCAAAGCAAGGGTTTTACATGACAATGACACCTGAGGGGTGAAGAGAGGATAAAGACCCAGTAATGGGTGGGAAGAAAAGTCAGACCAAGAGGAGGAGACTCAGAGACAGTAGAGCCAAGGAACACAAGGGAAAAGGAAGCTCAATGCACCAGGGAAGAGGACAAGGGCAACAAGGTCAAATGTGACACAAAAGTCAAGGTCAAGAAAAGTGAGAAAATGCCTTGTGATTTATCAATTAAAAGCTCACTGATAAACTTCTGGAGGAGCAATTTCCATAGAGAATCAATGGTGAAAAAATAGCCCGAGAGTTTATCAATGAAAAAAGACACGATTACATACTTACGTCTCTCAAACTTTCTAAACGGCATGATACGCACAGACGTATGTAAGTACTGGGTGTGTATGCATGTATACATATACTTATGTTCGTAGCTTAAGGGGGATAACAGGTCAAGCTTAGATTTAGAGACATTTAAAAAGAAGGAGCCAGAAGACAAAGAAAGAATGAAGGGTGAGAAGGAAACGCTCAAAGGGGCGAGCTCCCAAAGAAGATGACGGACCATGGTCAAGGGCCCAAACTGAGAAGTGTGGCTCGCTGGGTGAAAGGCTATCTGCAGAAGCTTTCTTCCTAAGGGCTCTCGCAGCTGCCGGGCCACAGCTGGTCCTCCACTGGGTCCCAGGCTTGCCCAGCCAAGGGCTTCGTACCCCTGGTGGTTTGAATGATAAGACGGTTATCCTGGGAGGAGAAAAGGAGGTCAAGGGTCAGGAATCTTTGGAGGGCTGGAACTGCCAGCAGGTCATTTCCTTCAGTTTGTGCCTCAGTGACTGTAAAAAAGGAATACCGTTTCACATCTTTTTTATTACTACATTGTTTTTTTAAAAAATTTGCATTATTAAAGTATGTTCTGAATGGCTTCTACAGTTCATGAGTACCTACTAAATTTTTTGTAAAAAAAAAAAAAACCTTGAACCAAGTCAAACATAGGCCTCACCCACAAAAGCAGCTTTCTTTAGGAGACAACAAATTACAATACTACCACTTCAAATGAGGCTTTGGGGATGGAGGGGATATTAGAGATCCTCTAAAGCAGGAGCCTTGAGGCCAGACGAGGTCTTCTAGGTCCTTGGGTGCGGCCTTTCAACTGAGTCTAAATTTTACAGAACAAATCCTTTTATTACAGGGATTTGTTCTATGAAGTTTGGATTCAGTCCAAGGGCTGCACTTGAGGACCTAGAGGATCTCGTGTGGTTCCCCAGCCTTGATCTAAACCAATCTCCTCATTTTTACAAAGTAACAGGAGCATCAAAGCACTGCAACCTCCTCCCCATGCTCACAACAACCCTCGGAGTAGATAAACAACCGTCAAGGCGCAGGATCACAGCCTACCAGGGTTCTGAGGTTTTATCAAACTAAGTTTGGGGGAAAATGGTATTTAACTTACATAATTCTTAACTACTAAAGTAAAAATATACCTAAATATTTCTAATTCAATTTATGTGCTAGAAACCAGAAAGAACGTCCTTATTTCCCTACAATTACTTCCGTCCTCATTTCAAGATCATTATCAATCTGAAGGAGTACAAAGGAAGCCAGGAATAAGAAAAAGGAAGCCGGGAAAAGGCTGCACCTTTGTCCTCTGGAAGACAGCCTTGGGTCCAAAGTCTTCGTCTTCCCGGGATTGTTCTTGTTGGTTTTAATCCAGCAAATATCTTCACATCTTCTGTAACCCCATTTGCGTAAACACTAAAAGAAAGGGGAAAGGACAGTCGTTAGGATTTTAGTCCGGGCTTAAGCCGAGGAGGTCAGTAGTCAAAGCAGAGGGAAGGGAAGGTTCCAGCGATGAGGGACGGCCAGAGAAAACGTTCAGAGCCCAGAGACAGCGCGCTCTCCCCACTGCCCCAAGCAGCTGACCGTACTTCTAAACCGTCTGTGCAGAAAGTACCTCATCGGCACTTGCTGCCACCTCTGCTTCTCAAATCTTTTGTTTCTTTTCCCAGCCCTCTCATTCAGTTTTTACAAACTTCCACACCTCCTGGTTTCTAAGCATTAAAATACTAGAGAAGAAAGGGAGAGGGAAAAAGTGCGCCCACACGCGTGTGTGTGTGTGTGTGTGTGTGTGTGTGTGTGTGTGTGTGTGTGTGTGTGTGTGTGTGTCTCACTCGCCATCCAATCCCTGGGGCAAGATCTTCTCCCTCCCCACCCTTTCCTACTTCACTTGGTTCCATGGGCCCTCACTGAGGGATCCCCACAGCTCTGTGCACCACTTCAGCCTGGCTGTCTCCTCACTCGCCCCCCTCTTCTGGCTGCTTAAAGGGACCAAGGACCACATTCAAACTATCAGGCAAAACATGGGCTCAACAACGTTAAGGTAAACAGGTTCTCCCACCACTTCTCATGCAAGCATATTTGCTTCAGATTTCTTAAGGATTTTTAAAAACAAGTTTCTTACCACTCTGCCAAGGTCCAGGCCCTCCCCAGAGCCACACCATAAAAAGACAAATGACCGTAGTCCGGAAAGCTCCTCAATTTCTAGCTTCATAATCTAAGGAACATAAAACAATATTGCACAAAAGCACAGCTTGCTACACATTTTGAAACCATAATTGATAGTGTTCTGGATCTCAATCTACACACTCATGTCTTCTCAAGTAAAGGGTTTATAGCAATAATTCCTATTTCCTTATTCGATTGCTGGCTCTCCCAAAACAAGAGACTATAATGAAGGTTTTAAGAATGCTGATCAGTAATGAGGCCCAGCAAGGATCCGAGCAATCCTTGTGCTCATTACTCTCACTTTACAGACGAGCTGACAAAGACCCCAACAAGTCCAAGAAACTACTCAGGATCACGAAGCTGATCGGGCAGCTAAACGACAATGCAGCAACATACAGCTTTCTCATTTTTTTCCCCATCTCCAAAGAGGCACTCACCAACTCTACACAAAATAAACAGGAACGCTCAAAAGAGGATAAGGACTACCTTTAGCATCTGAAACGCACAGACACAGACACAGACACACACACACACACACACACGCACACACTCATACATAGAAACACACACACACACACAAACACAGACACAACAACATCTTTCCCTGAAACACGTGCAATACTCCATGTCAGTGTCACATCGACATCCATTTCAGGATCAGAATAATTCTTCAATACATAACTGCCCAAGCTGGGACAAATTATCTTAGACCAACAACAAAAGTAAAACCATTTTTTAATGTATTCCTTACCTTTCATCAACTATCTTTATAGTTCAAGAGCTCCTGTGACTAGGACTAGGATCTAAGTGCCACCTCATAATTGGCGATCTCTCCTTTCATTTGCTATCTACTCTGCAGACCCTTGCTGCAGCCAGGTTTCTCGTTCCCCCGCTACAATGTAAGGTCCTCCAAAGAAGGACTACTTTGCTCTTGGTAGCTTCGTTCTCGGCAGCCCTGCTGCCTGCTGTGCAGTAGGCAGGTACTTATGGGGCTGCCCTCAGCACCACCATCCTGGTATTCTGCTGAGGATACAACCGTGCCAGCTGGCTGCTTACTCAGACAGCGGGCAGAGAAGAGCTTTCAGTGAACTCTATAGCTTTTCTGACCCGCTCCAAGGAGCTGTGATTTTATCACTGTGGGCGGGTACCACTAAAACAACGCACAACTCTTCTATGCTTATATACTATGGACAAAAATATTCATTCCCCTGACACCAACTGGGTCAGCTTCACCAAACTTAGCTGACTACCCATTACTGGGCCATTTGTGAAACCTTCCCAGCTTGGTTGGAGCTGCTAGAACCAGGGCTGCTCTGGCCTAGGCTTCCAGAACCCAGGGCCCCTCCAGAGCTCCAAGAAGCATGTGCACCTGCCTTCAGAGAAGACTTTGCAGTCCACTCACTTCTCCACTCTTCCCTGTAACCAGGCCCAAAACAACACGGCTACCTTTAGGGTTTTAACCTCAGCCACAGCATGCTATAAGCACACATGTTCACAGAAGATGGGAACACATACACAAAGATACTTTCTATTCAAGCTTGAATTGTTTAAGATCATATTTGAAAAATAACCAGTTCACCATAAAAAAAAAGCCCTCTCATTTTCACTTTTCAAGAAACACTTACATCATCCCAGGTCCAGCATTTTTCATTAGCAGTGATTCCAGTTTCTCGGTAATACTCTTCCAAAGGAGGTTCCAGAAGAATTACATCGAATTTGGACTTTAGCTCTCTGATGTCAAAAGCATCTAGATCTGCCTGTAAATACCTAGTGGATTAAAGCACAACCCACGGGCGGCCGGTTGTAAGCATCCCACTTAACAGCAATGAAACAAGATTGTAAAACAATCCAGGTTCCACACTATTCCCAGAGCTTACGTGAGTTAATCAACAAATGCTTTCTTAAAGTTTTCTCTTAGTTCAAAACATACATTCAAACATACAAGCAAAACTGTTCTTGTGGGCATGGACTGTATTATCTGTAGGTCATTAACATTTCCATCAGTCTATATGTGGCAGAAACACAGAGATGGAAGTGCGGAAGGCCACGTCATCCTGTCCCCATGTGCCCCAAGCCCCCAGGCCTTCTTCTCTGCCTCCTCCAGCAGCATGGTGATGCTGCCTGCCATCTATCAAAGTCAAGGGAAAAATACAAAAGACTGTGTAGTCATAGAAGGCTCTAAGCTCTGCTGGTGCATCTCTCAGAGTCCACTGGTCCATCTGTTAAGTGTGAACTCAGTGAGTAAATGTTACTCAGATTTTAAGAATTCTACCTTTTTTTTTTTCAAGACCTCATTTCCTCCAGTCCACGGTCCAGGGAAGAGCTTCATGATAATAAAAATGAACTTTAACCATCTTCTCTATTCGTCTACTATAAAGTATTACAGGCTTCAGATAAAAGCTAATTTCTATGACTCCTCATAAAGCCTAGTTATAAAATCTTAGCATTCAAAGAAACCTCATCAAACCCTGCATTCAATTCGTAAATCTCTTTTACAACAACATCAGATTAGGATGAAGATGACTTAATGTCACACAAAACCACTACAACAATTATAAGAATGCCATCTTTACAAAGCACAGCATTGTACTCAAGAAGAGGGAATCTCTGTGACTCAATCAAAACAAAAATCTCACTTAGGAAACTCCCAACGCCAGACAGTTTCTTATCCTCGGTATATGAAATGTGTTAAAAACACACACCCTAACTTCAAAAAAATAACCACCCATACACACACCTGAAGAGCAAATTACTTCCACTGCCTGGGAGCTTTGTGCCTCAATACTGTCTCTGTTTTCTAAAAGCAGTGTTGTGATATACAAAAGGCCTTATAAGCAACCAAGAAGTTTTCATGCAGAGCTTGCGATGCGCTCAGCCACAGGCCCTTCAATCCAACCTATTTCTCCAAAGGAAACAAACTAGGTCGCATTCATCTTAGACAGCTGCCAAAAGACAGCAGTTTCCTGAACTGCTGAACAACAGGGCTTTCCAGAGAACAAAAGTGGTGCCAACAATGGCCGTGAATGCACTTACATGGGAGGAGTGTTTGACTTTGAGATCAGCTCATCCTTCAGTCTGATAAGCTCCCTCAGCTTAGGATACTCTTCAAATCTATCTGCTAAACCTGAACGGGAAAATATTGATGTTAGCAACACAAGGGAAGTTTAATTCAGTGAAACTAAATTATGAGACTTCCCTAAATCAATCAATAAGTATTAAACACCCACTATGTGCCTGGCACCATGCTGGGGAGGAGGACCCAATTTCCTTTACACCAAACCCTCACGACCATTTTTTAATAAGGGTCTACAAAACCTAGAGACAAAGGGTTACTAGACAGCCCCCATGATGTCTAAAGTGGGAAGCCACAATTCATCATATCTAGCCCCCAGGCCTGGTTTATTCTCCACTCCAAAGATTTTGGGACTGTGCGGAGCCTCAGCATCTCCCAAGAGGCTTCAGGACAGGTTTGGTGGTACCAATTTAAATAAAGACAGGAGAGCTTTACACACTCTCTGTGAGTAAAAGTTATTTAAAAAGCTTACTCACTGCAGCAAAGAGTCACTTTGCAAACACACACTGAGAAAGTGCACGTAGAATTATAGATGGTACCATTTTTTAAAATATTTATCTATGAGAAGCATGTATTTTACTGAATTCTATAACATATACAAAGAAAAAAGCTATTTCTAATCTTTCTTAAGCTTATGAAATGTAAACACTACATAATTAAAGCTTAAATTCCAACTTTCTGAACATTTTTTAAAAAAACATCCTTTTGGTCAATAATGGAAGAATTACAGGCAACTCTCAATTCTATACGAAACCAGCAGTCTAACAGCATTCATTATGTTTTTTAAAATTGCATTTGATTCGAGGATGGACCACAACTTGTTTCGTGGCCTCTTTACCTAACTATATTCTGACCAGACTATTACATACAGTTTTTACTTTACACAAGTGGACTGTTCCACAGACCTCCATGTAATTTTTACTTAATGCGAATCTACCCATGGATGTGGAGAAGGGAAGGAGAGGGGGCAGAAACAGGGATATGAACCTGTGGAGGGAGGAGACCAGGACACAGTTCAAGGACAAGTGGGAGCCAGGGACAGACCTCCAGTACCCAGCACAGCCAGAAAGAAGGCAGACATGCAAAGCTGGACACACAGGGCCAAGGTCCTCTCTCAGCACCGGGGATCTCAAGGCAAGCCCTGATCTGGTGGGGTCAGCAGCGGCAGCCTCTCTGCACGTCTGGTCTTCGGCTTTTACTTGGAGGGGATTTTTCAGAGGTTTTTTGGGGGGTGGGGGTTGGGAAGCCTTGGCACACCCAAGCCAAGGGGCAAGAGCACAGCACTGTACAACAAAGTTAAAATATGTGGTTTTTCGGAAGCAGATTTCTTTCAGAATTCTTTTTGTAAAGGCGAATTTGCCCAATGCAAATTTACATAATGCAAGAACTGTCTGGAAAACAGTACTTTGCCAGAGGTAAGTCAAAAAGTTGCCAAGCCAGCTGCAGATAATCAAGAGCTAGCCCTTGTTTGGGCAAGTCGGACATACCCACATCTCTGATGAAATTCTGAGGCCTGTGTCCTGTGTCAACAAAGTGTTGGCAATAATCATTGTGAGGATTTAAGCTCTGGGTCCCCTAAAAATGTAAAAATAGAAATACACAGAATTACAGTAAGTCCCAAGGTTACACTGCGTATGCCCACACATGACCGTTCCGCTGTTCAGCCATTTCAGCCGCGTCCGACTCTGGGACCCCATCTGGGGTTTTCTTGGCAAAGACACTTGAACGGTTTGTCATTCCTTCTCCAGCTCATTTTAGAGAAAAGGGAATTAGGCAAACAGGGTGAACTGACTTGCCCAGGGTCACACAGCTGGTAAGTGCCTCGATCCACTGCACCACCTAGCTACCCCCTATAGACATGGGTACCTACTTTATCTACCTTTAATCTCACCTGAATTTAATACTTTTCTTTTCGGGTCAGTCTTCGACTTAAGTGTAGGGCAATCAAAAGTGAAGCCCTGTACATGGGGTGCTGAAAGAGCTACAAGGCAGCCAAAACACGGTGCCCGCCACAGAACTGGGGAATGAGCAACGAAGGAGAGACACACGTGGTACTCTAAGCCAGGTGTGTGACGCTCAAATAGAAACGGATCCTCAACGGGTGCATGCTGACTTAGAATGCCACATACTAACCTTTGCTATGTTACACTTTTATTTACTTTGTCAAACAATTTCCAACTGCATTTTCATCTGGTTGGGCCCCAGCCAGTCTGACACCTCTGCTTTACAACAGACACATAACACGCCAAAACTGATAATGTACGCAACCACATAATAACAATTATGGAAAAGAATACAGTACATCACTTCACAGATTGAGGTAAATTGTTGAAGAGACGCATAAAGAGTACCAAAGTGCTATCTGAAGTCCAAGGCAGGAAAAGAACATTTTTGACTGTAATATCAAGGAAGGCTTCATGGAGGAGGTGGCATCTAAGATATCTAGAAGAACAGAGAGGATTCTAAAAGCAGATATCTGGGCAGCTACCAGGGCTAGAGGAATATATGCAATTACTAGGGGAATTACAGGCTAGGGGAAAAGGAAAGTATTTGAGGCATCAAGAGGCACTCTAGCAAAGGAATGGAGGTGGGCAAGCACTAGCCATGTTGTCCAAGGAAAAGTGAGCGCAATTCTGTTAGACAACAGCACACGTGGAAGAACACAGTGTGAGATGAGGCCAAAAAAGGCAGCAAAAATATTGTGGAGGGCATTCGAATGCCAGGCTAAAGGGTCTGGACTTTACTTGGAAGGCAACATGGCGCTGCTACATGGTTCAGAACAGATCTGTGAATAAGGAAGATGAGCCTGGCAGCACCAGGAGAGATGGACTGGAGCAGGGGCTCTTAACCTGGGAGCCTCAACCTTTTCCTTTTTTAAAAACCACGTTGAGAACTATTTCGATTGACTTGGCTGCCTTTGTAATCCCAGGACTTTCCCTCGTAATCCACAGTATGTGGATTTTATGCATTTAGAAATCCTATTCTGGCTCCAGCCAACTGCCAAAGGGGTCCAGGACACAAAGGAGAAGAGACTGAGGTGAAGGGAGATGGTGAGCAAGACCAGCAGGCATCAGTGCAGCAGTAAAGAGCATAGAAAAGACGTGAGAGATGAGAGGTAAACCCCCCAGCAGCGGGGGCCGCCTGGATGGGGAAGGCCAGAAGCTGGGGCAGCGTCCTCTCTGTCTGCCGAGGAAGGCTGCACGACAGAGGTGCTTCAAGAGGGGGCGTGAAGGGCCCAGCCCCTGGAGCGCTTGCACTCTCACCTTAAGGAAAGTACTGGAGTCTTTGTAGATCTCTTCCTCGTAGGGCAGGTTCTCTTCATCTGGCTGCAATTCTACTTCATCCTTTGGGAAATAAACCCAGGAGAGTTAAAGGACATTTTATGTGCATGGTCCCACTCCCCTTAATCAATGAATGATCCTTTCCCAGCTCCTTCCACAGCACATCATCAATCATTCCACCGCTCACTTCCCAAGGACACCCAGTCAACTTATTGCCTGGCTTTCTTATCACCATGTCATGATTAATGATGAATAAATAACCTAGGAAATGATAAAGATGTTAACAATACAAGCTAGAGAACATTACTGATGATGAGACAGAAGTGAACAGTAAGTAAAAGGGAAGGAATTCTATATCCCCCTGAGTCTCTGTTGGTTATAGAACTGACTGCCACAGATCTTGTCTTCTACATTGGTAACATACTAATTTTACTCCAAAGGCAGTAAATTGATAAATTCAATGTCAGATTCACCAAAAGCTGCTTCATGCAACCAGCCACACATGTACAATGGCATTAAAAACTCCATCCACTGCAAAAACCAGCATCAAAGTATGTGACAGAGACTCCATAAGGATGACATCTCACTTCCTCTGGACTAAGTATGAATGATAAAGGCTAGCATTTAGATCACTTCAAGGTTTACAAAGCACTTCACCCTCACAACCCTGGCAGGGAGGTGCTACCATACCTCAGACGGGGCTAACCGTCCTCTTCTCGCTCTCTCCTCTCCAGGATGCTGGGCCACTGTGCTCCCCATCTGACTGCCCCTTCTCAGTCTCCTCTGTGCATCTTTAGCCAAATCACGCCGGCTACCTGGGTGTTTCCCAAGGCTCTGTCCAGAACCCTTTCTTCTCCTTCTACACTAGCTCTCTTGATGATCTTGTCAGCTTCCACAGATTCAATCAGCAGCAGCTCTATGCAGATGATCATCAGCTAAACTTACCCAGCCCCAGCTTTTCTTCCAACGTCTAATCCGCCACCTCTGATGGCCTGTTAGATGTATGTAACACATCTCAAACTCACCATATCCAAGGATGAACTCGTTACTTCCCTGTCGGGCAACACCATCCTCCCTGGATCTCCACCCAGGTGTCAGCTTTGTCTCTTCACTCACACCGCAGATCCAGTCACAGCCTACTTCAGGCCCTCATCACCTCAGGCCTGGATGATGCCCTGGGGTGGGCCTGCCTACCTCCAGTCTCTCCCCACTCCAGCCCATCCTCCACTGAGCTGTCACAGGGAGCTCCCCCCCCCAACAGACCTGACCGTGTCTCTCCCTCCTTCAATACACTGTCGTGGCACCCTACTGCCTCCAGGAGCGAATATAAAATCTCCTTGATGGCTTTTAATGCCCTCGATGACCTACCCAGGCCCTTTCCAGGCAGCTTACACTTTACTCCTCCACATACCCTGCTGCCCTTCTCCCACTCCTCGCATATAACACTCCATTCACTGACTGCCTGCCCCCATGCCTGGAAGGCTCCTTCCTCGCCTTCCCTCTGAGCTTAGCTCCAATTTACTCATAAATACGTTGTATGTGGCACAGACATCGATGTTTATCTGCTGCTCCTCTATCAGAGTGGGAGCTGGGGGGGGGGGCAGTGGCTGTTTTTCTTTCTTTGTATCCCAGGGCCTGGCCCACTGTAAGAGCCTGGTATTTGGGAACTGACTGAAAGAACTTGTCATTCTATACAATAAGTTAATATTTATGATTTTTACAAAACTTTTGCCATTAAGTTCCATACAAACTAGTATCAGACAGAATAATTGTAACGTTTTAATTTTTCACTCTCTCACAGAACAGCATTTTCTTTCCAGGAGAATTCACGACATAAGGCTACCTTGGTGTCCACATACCTTATATTCTTCCATGTCTTCTTCATCTGCCTCCCCTTCATCCAAATATCTGCGCTTTGCATTTGGAGCTGAAGTGTCATAAGAAGCCCTAGAAATTCAGAATAAAACATCTTATAGACATAATGAGATTTTTCCCCCCTCTTTTTCAACAACAAAATATTGAGTCTAAAATACATGGATTGATTGCACATGCATAACATATATCAAACTGCTTACTGTCTTGGGTGGAGGTGAGAAAGGGAGAGAAAATCTGGAGCTCAAATTTTTAAGAAAATGAATGTTAAAAATTGTCTTCACATGTAATCAGGGAAAAAATTTTTTAAAACTATGTAAAAAATAAACTTCAAAATAAAAATAAAATACAAGACACACTGTGCTAGGTGCTAAAAGGTAAGATGCAGGTCCTTCACTCAATAAATTAAAAAACTACCATTTGTTAAGTGCTGTCATAGGTAAGGCACTATGCCAGGCTCTGGAGGGTCAGTGCCTTCAACAAGCTTACACTGTACTGAGGGGATACGACAAGTACAGAGAAGATGAGAAGGGTGGGATGGGAGCAAGTGCAGCAGGCACTTGGGAAAAGTCTACCCTGTGCCAACCAAGCACTGGGCACCAGGGACCCAATACTAAAAGCACGAAAAAAGTCTCTGTCTTCAACAGAGGTAGTGCCCTCGACAGATGCCCCCCAGCTTGCGTGGGCACAGAGAGGGGTGGAAAAGGTCAGGATGAGATGGAAGAGCAAGAGATGCCTCGTGACTGGAACACAGACCAGGCGAAGGCCAGTAATGTGCACTCAAGCTGCCCAGGTATTGTAGAGTCCAAGAAGCTCGGAGCCAGTGACCTCAGAGGCCAAGCTCGGCCTTCACTTGATGTAATTAATTAATCCACAAGCACCTCGTAAGAGCCTAGCTAAGTGCCCAGGGCTGTGCCAGGCTGTGGGCATAAGGACAAACACAACAGTCACTGCCCTCCACGAGCTCACAGTCTTCTGATCCACGTGGACGCATATAAGCACATACGAAAACATACACAAGATAAGTACGAGGTAACTGGAGAGGAAGCATCAGCAGGAGGCATCACAACAAGGCCCGGGAAGGTGAGGGCACCTGCGTGGAGCCTTCGAAAGGACTAGGAATTCAAAGTGCCGGAGGTGAACAGGCTTGGGACAGAGGGCAGAAGAAATCAATTCACTGGTAACTCTGGGGAGAAGAGTCTCAGCTGACTGATGAATCGGAAAGCAAGACTGCAGAGTGAGGAGAAATGAGTGCAGGGGAAGTGTGCTGAGCCGCCCCGCCCACTCTTCTGTAGGCTCCAGAATAATATTAATGTCCCTGGTTCAGTCTGAATAAGTATCCCTTATCAGGCTTCCGAGGCTGGTACTGAGATCTTTTTACATCATTCTCACAAAAAGCTTAACCAGTATGTAAACAGAGAGGCCAGCCAGCCAGGTGAGCCCAGGAACGGCCTCCCAGACATGATTAGGGGAGTGAACAGACCAAGAGAAGGAAAAGAAGTCTTATGAACTCTGTTAATGAAGAACCTTTATTAGAAGGGATGGCTCTCCAGCAGGAGGGAGAGGGATGCGGTGCAGAATACAGGTGGGTGACAGAATGACGAAGACATCAATAAAAGTTGACTCTTTTTTTTAATTAAAGAAAATGAAGCATCTAAACAGCAGCACGCTGAGAGCAGCAGATGCTGCATTTATTCGGCTGCCTGGGGTCTGGCTAAGTCTGAAACAAATGCTGTCCAGCCGAGCATCCCAGAGGTTTGTCCTGGGGGGGAGGGCACTGGTGGGCCTGAGCGGAGTGCTCAGTGCCTCTCGCTGCAAACCAGGCCAAGTGCACAAATTCCCTCCAAGGGTGAATGGCTCACTAAAACAGAAAGGTTTTCCCACATGCTCTTTACTAAAGCAAACGGTGAAAATCAGTTTTTGGACTAACCTGCAAGTTTCTCTGGTCTCAGCAATCTCCCTTTGCTCGTCTTTGCTATTTAACACGGCACCGATACTGTCCGCACTCTCAGCTCCCAACTGAGAACAGGCAAAAAACAAAAGGTATGTTACGGTGGGCGGCAGGTGGCGGCTGAAAGCCTCAGCCTCGCTGATAAGGGGAAAGACTTTTCAACAAATAATAGAAAAGATATAACTTGAACATTAAAAGTGGCCAGACTGTGGACTCTCACAGGGGAGGCTGGCTATAATTCACAGCAATGTAAGAGAACGTATTTCTTCAGTACAGAACAATTTTATATCCAATTCTGTTAACTTCAGAGAGTTCAAATTTTTTATTTAAATACCATGACTAAAACCAGGATTAGAACTATTACATACTAAGTGAAAAGTCAGGAGTATCTTGTCTATTACCTTCCCTGTCATCAATAAAATGAAAAAGCTCTTTTAAAGAAGCCTGGTGTCTCATCCAAACTTCTGCACCAGAAAAGTCCCAACTGTGACAGAGCGCAGTGTCCCAGGAGCCTCCTGGCTCTTCAGCTGACTCCCTCGCTGACTGGGTGACACTCAACTGCTCAGCACAGGTATTCAAGAGTTAGATGAGAAAAGCCCCACTGCCCCTTCCAGCCTTAAATCTTAGGAGCCCAAGAACAGCTCTTTCCAATCCTACCTAAGATTTTCTAAAAATATTCCTTTTTATTTGTATTTCTTTGAAAATATGGCAACTGGTGAGAAACTTGGCACACATGGGGATTCTGCTAACAGTCCCAGGTCAAGAAGTTTGGGGATCTGAGATGTTCAAGGGATCACCTTCCCAAAGAAGTGAAAGCCCACTGGACTCTGGGTCTGGCATCACCACTTCCTTTTCCCTACAACAGTCTACCTAATCCTGAGAGGGGCACTCCTCCAGGAAGACTTCCTGGACTGACCAGGAAGGTCAAGGCAGTCTTCTCACCACTATTCATGGGCAATCTCAGATGCAAGACATCCCACAAAACTGCACCTTCAGGCAGATGACAACGAGGGCCTGGGCTGCTCTGCTGGCTTGGAGGGCGCGGCACTGGACCAGGCAGCACTAGGGGCTAGCAGGACAAAAGACAGGTGACTTGCCTGCACCCACGATGACAGTAAGTATAAGTTCTTAATTCCATTTGTGTATGTGTTATTATTCAAATACCTACACACATATAGAATGGTTAATATTGTTAGGTTATAAATCCCAAGAGATCTGAGACTCTTCTGTTCAGAAAATGCAGCAGCCCCAAGTAGCAGAGAAGACCAAATACGGAGCCGGGTTTGAATCTTGGCAAGCTACCCCATCTCTGGCCTGACGCCTCCCATCTGGGAAAGGCAGAGCCTGAACCAGATGATGCCTTGGAGGTCCCTTCCAGCCTAAGCCTTCAGGGCTTCTTCACCCTGGTTTTCCCCCAGCGGGCCATGTTCTAGTGATGACGTAAAAACGGTCCTGTTCAAGAGGCCTATGGATGCCACGGAGACGTAGGTGCTTCCAACTGAGCCTGGCCAGAAGGTGAGGCGGCACTCTGAACCAGAGCAGAGAGCGGCATACGATGAAAGAGACCTCGGGAAGGCAGTCAGCGTGATCTCGGGGCTCTTTCCGTAAAGAATGGTGTCTTGAACAGCAAATCAATCTACTGAGAAACTGTCCCATGTAAAATATGGTCAGTTCAGAGGAGTGAGGGCATGTTGTAAGGATGCTATAACATAGACGTGACCCCTGAATTAATTATCAATCTGCCTGATGGGCTCCCGAGGCTGCATAGCAAATCCCAGCAGCACAGACTCTGGAGTTGGGCAGGCACATCATCAAAATCACCTCATTCATTTAACAGAGGAGAACACTGGAGCCCCGAGGAGCCCAGGGACCTGGCCAAGGTCATACAGACCGAGGCTGACAAAAGAGAGAAAGGGGAACTAGATCCCCTGCCTCCACGCTCTACCCCTCACATCACCGTAGGTTCTAACAGCAGGCAGCTAATAACTGTAGTCACCAGCACCTCTTGATCACCTACAGTAACTAATTTATTAAAATCCTCTTTAACCAGTGACAGAGAACGATCAGAGAAATCAATGTTAGCTACTAGTCCATAAGTCAAGTGTTCCCTATGTGCCTGGCACTGTGCTAAGGGCTGAGAGGACAAGAAAGACAAAAAACAGCCCTTGCTTGTACAGTAAGTGTGTGCTCTAACAGGGAGATGATATGTAAATATTCAGGGACATACGAAATCTCTGAGGGGACACAGGCAACTGGGGAAGCCATTAGCAGCCGAGGGTGCCAAGAAAAGCTCCCTGCATGGGGTGAGGCCAGGGAGAGGAGACGGCAGAGATGAGGGGGCACGGTGTGGGCATGGGCAACAGCTGGCACAAAGACAGACAGAAGCTGTGAGTGGAGAGTTCAAGGCCAATGCCACAGAAACGGTGGAGGGGAGTAAAGTGCGAGAAGCCTGGAAAGGTGGGAAAGTCATAAAGAATTTAAATGCCAAACAAATTTATATTTGATCCTGAAGGTAACAGGGAATCTCCAGAGCTCACTGAACAGAGTGACAAAGTCAGACTTTTACTTTAGAAAAATCTCTCTGGCAGTGGAAGGGAAGACAGCCTGGAGCAGTTAGAAGAGCCCATGAAAAGCCTCCCGCCACTGTCCTGGTGAGAGGGCTGCAGCTGCATGAGAGAAGAGAAGTGCGTGTCCACAAGCGACGATATGAAGGAAGACAAGATTTTGGCATGGAATGGACATGTGGGGTAAGAGTGAGGAATGAAGATGCCAACCTTGGGCTTGGGAGCCTGACCACTGCAAGGATGGTGGTCCTTTCAACAAGGACAGGAAATCTCAGAAGGGACAAGGGGAGGGGCTCTCTTTCGGACACGTCAATCAACGATCATTTCATAAGTACCTACTGCTATGTGCCAGGCACAGTGCTTAAGCGCTAGGGACCCATACAGAGTAGAAAAGTCAGCCTCTGCCCTCAAGGAGCTTACAGCCTTATAGAGGAAGACAATACGTTGTGATGAAGGAAGCTGAAGGAGGAACACTGAACTTGTGTGGCTGACCATAGCTCAGTAGAGGCACTAGGGAGATATACAGATCACAGAAGCACCGGCAGAGATAGCGAATCAGGAGAGTTGATGAGATCACCAAAGTTGACAGTATAGAGAAAAAATCCCAGAGGGCCCCGGATAGAGTCTTGGAGGACACCTATGGTTGGAAGGTATGACACAGATGAAGAATCAGCAACAGAAACTGAAGAGTGGTCACAGAGATGGGAAGACCAGGAAGGGAACAGTGTCACAAAAACCCAGAGAAAACAAAGTGACAGACAGTGCCTAATGTTAGAGAGGCCAAGCATTACCTGAACTGTACAAAGGGCATCAGATTTTGCAATTAAAAGACTGGTAACTCTGGAGACAGCCCTTGCAGCAGAGCAGGGTCAGAAGCCAGACTGCAGCAGACTTTGAGAATGAGGGAGGAAAGGAAGTGTGGACTATAGGGGGGCTTCTCAAGGAGGTTAGCCATAATGGGAAGAGACTGATAGGATGAGAGGTAGTGGCATGGTCAGATCAAGAGAGGCTTTTTTAGGGACTAAATGATTAGGTTCCTAGAAACCCAGGAAGAACCAGCAGATAGAAAGAGACGGAATAAGAGGAGACAATCTGCCGCAGAGCTCAGGAGGGAATGGATCAGGGGAACGTGGAGGTGTCGGCGCTGCCAAGGAGAAGGGCAGCATCTCCGTCTCTCCATCTGAGAGCAAGAAGATGCCTGAGGGGACGGCAGGAGGCAGCCAGAGGCTCTCCAGCTTTCTTTCCACCTAGCATGCCCACAGCGAGGTGCTCAGCACGGGCACTGACGGAGAAGGAGGCTCGTGGGGAAAGAGAAGCCCGGCCGAGACCGCTGACGAACCTAAGAGACCGGGCAGCGCAGCCTTCCTTCTCCTGCACTGTCGGTGAACTAAACCCCCGAGGACGGAGGTCCGGTGGGCCCGCGCTGGTCACCACGGGGTGGCCATGCGGGAGGGGCGCCCCGGGAAAGAACCGAGGGGGAGGGGAGGCAGGTCACGGGCAGGGCGGGGGGGGGCTCCGGAGCCCCACGGTGCAATGAGGGCTGAGATCGCCTTTACTCTCGCAGGGAAAGACCAAACACTGAACGCGTCATCTAAGGAGCACGCGCTAGGAAGGCAGGGGAGCCAGGGCTCTGCCCCCTGGGGCCCCGGCAGCTGCCGGCCCGGCTCTGGGGGGACACCGAGGCAGGCCGGTGCAGGGGAGGGCGGGCCTGGCGCGGGCTCCTCCGCCGACCCCCGACCTCCGGCACACCAGCCCGGCCCCCACGAGCTCCCCCCCACCGCCAAGACCCGGGCTCCTGCGGGCGCACAGAAGCGCGTCCCGGGTGCCCAGGCTCAGCGCAGATGGAGCGGGCGCGGGCAGGAGCGCGAGCCCGCCGAGCATGCGCCAGGGAGAGATGCGGGCATGCGCAGAGGAAAGGGGCGGGCGGGAGCGGAGCGGGCATGCACGAAGGGAGCGCGGCGGGCATGCGCTGGGCGGCCGCATGTACGCACGGCACAGCCTCGCGCCCCCGCCCTGGCACTGACCTGCTGAGCGAGGAGTTGCCGGCGCAGCTTCTGCCGCTCGCGGATCTCTTGGAGGCGGCTGTCCATGCTCCCGCCGACACTCTTCGCAGAGGGCCAGGACAGCGAGGGAGACGCACACAGCCTCCCTCCGCGACGGGCAATTCCCCGAGGTTGAGCTTCCCCTAGCCCGCGTCCTTTCCGAGGACCTGCCCCAAGGACCCGCTCCACTCCACGCTCCCGGGTTCGCCGCTTCCGGCCCAGGAAGTCCCGCCTCCTCCCCACGACCTCGCCGGCGCCCGGCGTTGGGACGTGCGTGACGTGACGTCACTCGTCGGGGGCGTGGCCGCAGCGCGGATCTCCAGAACTCTACGCCCGCCCCCTCCCTGTTCGCGTGCCTGCTTCGCTCGGGGGCGCGCTCAGGAGGGCGGCGCTGACTCTGTCCGCTCTGCCCTGTCCTAGGGCTCCGTCCTGTCTCTCTGTCCCATCCTAGGGCTCCGACCTGTCCCCTCTGTCCCGTCCTGGGGCTGTGACCCGTCCCCTCTGTCCGGTCTTGGGGCTCAGACCTCTGTCCTAGGGCTCTGTCCTATCCCTCTGTCCCATCCTGGGTCTCTGTCCTGTCCGCTCTGTCCGGTCTTGGGGCTCAGACCTCTGTCCTAGGGCTCTGACCTGGCCCCTCTGTCTGGTTTTAGGGCTCAGACCTCTGTCGTAGGGCTCTGTCCTGTCCCTCTGTCCCATCCTAGGGCTGTGACCTGTCCCTTTTGTCCCGTCCTGACGCTCTGTTCTGTCCCCTCTGTCTGGTCTTGGGGCTCAGACCTCTGTGCTATGGCTCCGTCCTGTCCCTTCTGTCTTAGGGCTCCATCCTGTCCCATCCTGGGGCTCTGTCCTGTCCCCTCTGTCCCATCCTGGGGCTCCGTCCTGTCTGGTCCCATCCTGGGGCTCTGTCCTGTCCCTTCTGTCCTAGGGCTCCATCCTGTCCCATCCTGGGGCTGCCGACCTGTCCCCTCTGTCCCGTCCTGGGTCTATGATCCGTCCGCTCTGTATGGTCTTGGGGCTCAGACCTCTGTCCTAGGGCTCCGACCTGTCCCCTTGTCCTAGGGCTCTGTCCTGTCTCTCTGTCCCGTCCTAGGGCTCTGTCCTGTCCCCTCTGTCCCGTCCTGGGGCTATTACCCGTCCGCTCTGTCCGGTCTTGGGGCTCAGACCTCTGTCCTAGGGCTCTGACCTGGCCCCTCTGTCTGGTTTTAGGGCTCAGACCTCTGTCGTAGGGCTCTGTCCTGTCCCTCTGTCCCATCCTAGGGCTGTGACCTGTCCCTTTTGTCCCGTCCTGACACTCTGTCCTGTCCCCTCTGTCTGGTCTTGGGGCTCAGACCTCTGTGCTATGGCTCGTCCTGTCCCTTCTGTCTTAGGGCTCCATCCTGGGGCTCTGTCCTGTCCCCTCTGTCCCATCCTGGGGCTCCGTCCTGTCTGGTCCCATCCTGGGGCTCTGTCCTGTCCCCTTTGACTGGCCTTGGGACTCAGACCTCTGTTCTAGGGCTCCGTCCTGTCCCATCTGTCTTAGGGCTTCATCCTGTTCCATCCTGGGGCTCTGTCCTGTCCCTCTGTCCCATCCTGGGGCTCAGTGCTGGTGATTCCAGTGTCTGGGGGACCCTCGTTCCTCTCATAGCGTCCACATGCTCTCCCAGCTGCCAAGCCTGCACATCTGGCCCAGCCCTCTCTGCTGATGTCCAGGCATGAGGTCAGGACAGGCGGCTGCTGGCTGGGTGCCTCCAGGCACAGTGCAGGGCACAAAAAACCTGAAAGCCTCCTCTCAGGCACTCACTAGCTGAGTGACCATGAGCAAGTCTGTCCATCTCTTTGGGCCTCAGTTTCCTCAGCTGTACAGTGAGAGGGTTGGCTTCAAAATCCCTTTTCTCAGTCTCAGATCTTCCTCTGCTACCCCCCCCCAACTGCCATGCTTCTGCTGAGAGTCCTGCCATCCTGATAGACACCCAGATTCATAACTTCTGCGTCATCCTCAGTCTTCCTCTGTTGTTCCCTATATCTAGTCTGCTGTCAAATCTTGTTTGTTCTGCCTCCAAACCCATCTTCTTCCTCTCCTTTACATTTTGGAAGCCCTAGTTCCTTTCAAGCTTTCTACCTTTTCTGATTCCCTAAGATGTTACTGCTTCCTTCCAGTCCTCTCTCCCCCATAGGTTAACTAGTAGGTCAGTAAGCAACAATTAGGTGCCTATTACACACCAGAGGGTGCAAAAAAAGAAAATCCTTGCTGTTGAAGAGCTTACGGTGTCATGGAGGAGACAATGTGTAAACAAATACTGTATGTACAAACAGGATTCTTGGCAGTCTAATCTCAAGGTCATTCAGAGATTCTCTCAGAGGGAAGGCACTGAGATTGTGCAGAACTAGTAAGGACTTCCTGGAGGTAGGACGTTAGCTGAGATCTGAAGGATGCCTGGGAAGTCAGGAGGAGGAGATGAAGAGGGATGGAGATAGGCGGGGACAGGCAAAAAGACGACCTCGTCAGGATGGGTTGGTGAGCTGTGCCACTTTTTGTAGGTTTTCGATTTATTTAGCCTTCAAGACCATAGATTAAGTGTTGGAAGGGATTTTGGAGGCTATCTGATCCAGCCTCATTTTACAGAGGAGGAAACAGCCTTGGGGAGTTTCAGTCATTTTTCCAAGGTCCCATGGATGCAGTGATCATCAGAGGTGTGATTTGCAGCCACGTCTTTTTTGGCTTCACAGCCTTTGTCTTTGTATCTCCAGTGCTTGACACATATAGTTGTTTGATAAATGCTGGTTTAAGTGAAAGACAGAAAAATCTGTACGTCCAGCTCTAATTTCTCCTGAAATCTAGTCCTGCATCAAGTGGCAGCTGGATGGCCCACCAGCAGCTCAAACTCCAGAATATCTAAAATGCAGCTTGCCCTTGTCCTTTCTCTCCTCTAAACCTCTCTTTCTGTTGAGGACACCATCTTCTTTCTAGTAGCTATGGTTTGGAACCATGTCATTCTTAATTCCCCAAAGCTGCAGCTCCACGTTGTCTTTCTAAACATTTCAGATGGTTTGCTCCACTGCATACACCGGGTTCAAGCCAACTGGCCCACTGGCTGTTCCCCAAATAAAACATTCCATCTTCCACCCTTGTCCCCTTGCGCATTTGGCCCCCCATTCAGGGAATGAAATCCCTTCTCTCTTCTTCTGAGAATCTGTACAGCATTTCTACATTGCAATACAAAATGCAAGAGGAAATAATAGAAAAGGAAGTCCAATTCAAGATAACTGTAAAATACATAGAATATCTGGGAATTAAGCAAGGCACACTCAAGATTTGTATTAATACAATTACAAACACTCTTCAAAGAGACAAGTAATTGGATGGGTTTTTATTGCCCATGGTTGGACAGTGCCAATGTAATAAAAATGACAATACTGATTAAATTAATCTAGAGATTTAGTGCTGTGACAGGCTATCAAGGGACACTTTATAGAACTAGACAAAATTATACTTATATGGAAGAACAATAGGCCTACAATGTCAAGGGGATACTGACCAAAAAAGTAGGAATGAAGGGAGAATTCAAGATTTCAGATTATACTAGCGAGCAATATTCATCAGAGCGATTTGATACTAGTTAAGAAATAGACAAGTTGATCAATGGAACAGGCTACATGAGGAAGAATCAGACATAATTGAACTCAGTTACCTAGTATTTGATACAACCAAGGAAATAAGTTACTTGGGGAAAGGAGTCCATATTTTGACAAGTACTAGGAAGACTAGAAAGCAGTTTGTCAGAAATTCAACCAAACAAAAAAAATGGCCTGACTGGTGTTAACTGTATACCACAATAAGCTCAATATGGATGTGTGACCTGAATATTCAAGGTCTCACCATTAAAAAAAAAAAAAGAAACTAGAACAAGATTAGGAAGCTTTCACAATTACAGCTAGCAAGAGTTCTTAACTAGAAATCAGTCTCTTTCACTGCTCTGTCTCTGTCTCTCTTCCATACACACACACACACACATACATACACACACAATCACAATCATTTTGATTGCATTAGGTTGAGAAACCTTTGCACTGACCAACTATGTTCAACTAGGAAAATAGGATACTAGAAAAATGTTTGCATCAAATACCTCTGATAAGGGCTGGATTTCCAAGATCTCAGGGAGCTAACACAGCTTGAAAATAATGCTCTGGGAGAGGTAGGCACCAGTTAGGATAGCAGAGCGCCATGTATGGAAACAGTATAAAAGATGGTTTAGAAGAGGGTGGGAGAGGACCTGAATTTCATTTAGTGTACAAAGGAAAAAGAAAGGGCATGCCTAAGCATGGACTGATGACAGCAAAACAGCATGAAGGAGGGACCGTTTTAGGGTGCCAGCAAATCAAAGTTAAATGGAGAATAGCAGACAATAGGAAGTGAACCAGAAGCTCTAATTGAGATTGAAGCCTGGCAGATTTCCTTTTTTGTGTCAATAAGTCCATTTCCTCATTCACCTTTATGTTTCAATGACTTCATGATCTCAACAATGTAGCCAGAGCCATAATTAGTCATTTTTGCAACCAGAGCGACTGCTGGTTGGGGGCAAGCAGCACACACTAGGGAAAACCCATACTTCCAGACTTCTTAGATGGTTTTTCCCTTTCCTGCATTCTGTAGTCCAGCCATATTGGCCAACTTGTCACCCCTTACCCACAGCATTCTATCTCTGTCTGCATGCCTTTGCACTGAACAGCCTGAAATGCAGCCCTTCTTCACCTCTACATCATGCTGCTTTCAAAATTCAGCTCCAGCACCCCCTCTCCGTGACACCTTTCGTGCCCTTCCTCCCTAAACTACCTTGTGTTTAGTGTGTATGCATTGTGTTTAGAGTTATATGTGTACGTATCTGACCCAATGGAATGGAAGACCCTTGTGTTTCTGGATTGTCCATTAAGGGGCCGGGAAGGTGGGCTGTGCTTTCCCCGTCCCCAAATGCTACATCTCTTCTCACATGGAGGATGGACTCAATGAGGTGAGCTTGTGCCTGAGCCCCGCCCCCCAGCTGCGTTTTCTATTTGCTGTTTCCTAAGTAGCTGAATGGCTATCATTCTCAGGGTGCATGAGCCCAGGCCTGGAACTGCCTTTTGGGATTTGATAGGTCCAGGGGTCCTGGGTCCAATGAATGGAGTTGACAGGTGATACATTGGGAAGGAGCTCCAGGGCCGTCTCTGGCTCACCAAAAGATGTGAATTTTGAGGGAGTCAGTGCAGGGTAGAGGTGAAA